TTGAGTGTACGGTTCATGTTTCCCACACCATTTCCAAGTGTGATATAGCCTCTGATTTCTGCTTGGAAAATTAGTGCCCTCAAGCCAGGCATTAAAACAGTTTCATTCTTGTGCCAAGTGCCACCTGTGGTCACAGCTCCTTCTCCCGCACCTCTGATGGCACCTCTGTTCAGCTTCCCCTGACTGGTACCGCTCGTCGGCCAGTGTGGTCTGGGCAGAAAGGGTAGCTTACGTCCCATCAGTACTAAGGCTACTTTCACTGGCTTATTTTTAACTGTCAGTCCCTTCCTGACTTAAATAATTGCTCTGGGAAGAAGCTGTTACCTGATTTTGAACTGCACGTTTAGCTTCTCAGTAACCATTAACCAGCATCTCCTTATGGCGATCAGAGCAGCCTCAGAGCAGCATGGTTTTCATGTGTAGCCCACGGAACCTGGCCTTTATTCCTGGGTTTTTATATGTACATGCCGACTTGCAGAAGGTTTCTCTGCTACTAAATTTGGAAAATACAGATTTTTTTCCCCAGTGGTCAGTTTTAATAATCTGTTCAAATGCAAGGGACAGAACTGCCTGGTCTAGGTTCCAGGCCCAAGCCTTACTTGTTTTGTGATCTTTGGCAGATCACCGGCCTTCCTACACCTTGTCTCTAAAACTAGATAATGTAGTGGCTTCACATGAAGCCACTTCAGCACAGTCCCCGTTTCTCCAACCCACGAGCCCCATAAGGTCAGGGACGCAAACCCTGTTAGCCTTTGATTCCCCAGCGCCTGTGACAGTGGGTGCCATACAGGAGGGTCTGATGAAGTCTGTTAAAGACTCGGAAAGATAATACACGGGTTGCATTTAACAGAGTGCCCGGAGCTAATAACAGTAACAGTAAAATTCCCTGGTTTTTCTCCCTCTGCATTATTAAAAGCTCTTAAATGTTACCAGAGTCATAGTGAAAAGATGACAGATTTTATTTTATAATTGTCTTTGCAGGAGAAATACTGATCCACCCTCATCCGTACTGTCTTGACCTCTGACAATACTCCTTAGGATGAAATAAGCTGGGCCTCTCCCCCACATAATTTCTGGGCTGACTTAAAAGCATGAAGGAAAGAGTGAAAGTTAATTCCTATTCCACGAAGTTGTGTGTGTCTGTGTGATTTTTAAAATCAAACTGAGGTATAAGATGACTGGTATCCTTTTAATTGTCCCAGTGAGGAATGTTCAAAGCTTTCTTTTCTGCACTTTGCTCTAATTCTACAAGAAAGAAGCAACATTTCTAAACTAAATTGGCTTGTTTGTGCTCTCTGACTTAAAACTCTTTACTCATCTGTCCTAGGTAATAGTTAAAAAAGGAATGCATTACCTTTTTTTCCCATTTCACTTTCTGTATGGATTTTTGTAGAGGGCTGTAGAATTTTAGAGCAGAAGAGATGTCAGGAGTCGTCTCATCCTTCCTGTCGCAGCATCTCACAGATGAGCAGAGTAAAACAAACAGAGAGAAGTCAAGTGCTCCTAGCGAGGCCGTGGCACAGGCGACACGTGAAACAGGTTTCCTGACCTCTGACTGGGTTTTCCCTTCCTCCCAAACAAAAAATAGCAAAACCCAGATCTAATCATATAAAAATACTTCAGTGGTTCTATTTTTTTTTCTCATTCAAGTCTTTTTCTCATTCAAGAATTTATGGTGCTAAATTTTTAGGTAAACTGTTGAAAAAATTCTGTATGTAACTTGTTCTGATAAAATGAAAGTTATTAATTAATTTAGCATATAATCCATACAGCATCATTTTAGCGGAAATTTGTGACTCTTAAGCATATTGTAGAATTTTGAAAATTGGTCTTCATTTTGTATAGGATGAATTTTAGAATGTATTTATTAATAGAGTATATACAATATAAAGCTTTTTTTTATACCTAGGTAATAGTTCAATGAATATAATGAAAACTTTTTTATATTTGAATGACTGTCTTAGTATATTTTAAAGAAAGGCTTGATAGCATTCTCAGTTTTTAGCAGTTCTCCCCTAATATCAGCCTTTCTGTTTTGTGCAATGTTATTATCTATTTCTTACTTATTTTCACTCATGTCAGGAGGTTAAAATGACATAAGTATCTGCCACAGTAAAATATATTCCATCGTACTCCTGGCCATAAATTCTCGAAAGGCAGTGGGGTCACGCGTCCCGGGTGTTCGGGCTCCTTTGCGGTTGGTCACTTGCACGATCATTTTAACATCCGATCATGTCACTCCACAGCTCTCCCTTTCCTGGTACAGCTGTTATAAGTCACAACATTCCGGAGGCAGCAGTAGTAAGAGACACAGCTGTCATGTAGTAAAAAAAACCATTTTTAGGAAATAACTATATATTCATTAAGTTTAAAATGTGCTGTGTTAAATGTATTACAGATTTTCCTGGGCATTTAAACTTTTCAACCTGCCTACTAGGTACAGTGGGCGGCACAGGGGGCTCCCACCTCTCCCCTCTGTCAGGCAGCAGGAGCCCTGGCCTGGAGCAGAGGCACGCTGCTGGTGGGGGGAGGAGGAGGCGGTAGTGCTGGCCACCTCGGGCCTGTGTTCAGTGGGTCATGAATGTATCCAGTTCATCGCTATGGTGCAGGATACACACTTCTCCCTCTTCTTACATAGTGATTCTTTTGGAAATGTGTCAGTCAAAGAGGTGAGTAGCATACTTAGATGTACGTTTTAATTTCTATTCAAGCTATGTGTAATTTTAATGTTAAACAATGTGCATATTTTGTATAGGGAGTTTGTCATCATATGAAGAAGAATCCATGTCTAAGTTTAAAGTACCAGTGTTAACCCAGGATGGCACTTTTGGTAACTACGTTTTTGGCAGGCCATTAGAAGAGGCTTTTTTCCCGTTAAAGTTCTTTCCGTGTTCAGTTTAGGTCCGTAGCGTCCGTCCCTCTCTGCTCCTTTCGCTTGTGGGCCGTCCATGGGCTGCTGTGTGTTGCAGTGAAGGTGTTAGGCTGAGGCTAATCTCTGTAAAATGCTGGTGTTTGTTCTCTTTCTCTATCATCAGTCTTTCACACTCACATCAAAACCCTGATGTATCAGCAGGTTCCCCAGAGCTGCTGGTTAAAATTACTTTTGCTTTTGGTAAACTCTGGACCTTCAGGCTTCTGTGTTTTCACGTGCCCCCTGTGGGTTCTGCGAAGCCTCTATGAACGTCCCTTGCTGCAGGCGCTTGCTTCGTGTCCCGGAGCCAGGAGCCTGGCGGAGGCTGAGTGGTACTGCGGCTGTTCCCCCCACCCTCCTTCAGTGGAGGGTGGGTGGCACGCAGTGATCGGGGCCGCTTGTGCAAATTACGGGTGAAACCTCCTTGGATGGAGGGGTGGATGACAGGCCAGTGGTCAGGGTTGCTGTGCAAATTACAGGCGAAACTGGTTGGATTCCCAAAGCTAAGAAAGCTTGTGTGTATCATACCCAGTAGCAGTACAAATTCTTTAAACTTAGCTATGTCTAAAAGTTTCCTGGAGTTTCAGATGCTGTGTGATATTGGTGAATTTACTTGTTTGTCTTCAAGCTAAATGCTGCAATTAGGTAACTTGTTTCTTTAAGTTTGTCCTATTAATTCATATCTGAATACCTCATGTTTTATTTTAATTTCTTTTATCTTCCTGTTTGTGTACCCTTTTTTCACTTCTTCACTCTCATAAATACTTCCCATTCACCCATTCTGAGGAGGACTGTCTTTATTAGTAAATACGGATTCCGGTGTAGATGGGATTTCTTGTGGATGCATGGTTTGTGATGTTTTCACCGTTTGCACACTATAGTTCCTGCACACACGATGCGCTCACAGCGTTGTTCTTTTGGAAACTGCCTCCTGCCTTTGTGGATCATGTATCAATTGTTGGTATGACTCTTCTTGTCACCTCTGACTGTACATCCCTGTTCAGTATTACGAGTTACAGTCTCATTAAGATTTGCAGCAAGTACATGGGGTGTTCTTAGAAACTAATGGAAAAAGGAGAATGCATTTCTCTCTCTGAGTTGCAGCATATTTTTGAAACTTTCCTCAAGCAAGTAAAATTCCTAAGTATTGTTTTCAAACTGATTCTCTCTTTTGTACGAAGCCCTGTGCTAATGACAGTGATAGAGCCATCTAAATTTGAGATTTAAGATTTTCACCTTGAGAGTCACTTAAATGTTTTTATCCTTCAAAGTATAATGTATATGCCTTTGTTTATTTTTAAATACTTAATAAATATTAGTTCTGTTAGCATTAATTATGTTCTATTAGAATTTTCTAAAATGGTCATAAAAAAGAGAAATAAGGATACGCACATCTAAGCAAACAGAAGACCAAAAACTGTTTGTTGTGTCTTGGCTTTGAAAGGGTCTGAACAGGAGCAGTAACTCAGACATCTTTCCAGAGATGCCGATGGCTTTGCACATAAGTTATTACATAGCCCTTTGATGCCCAAAAGTCTGTTGTTTTATTTCTTAAGTGACGGTAAGGTACTGATGATGTCTTTTGTAATTTTAAGAGCTACGACTGTCTTCTAAGGGATGTTTCTAAAGTTGAATATGATTTATTTATGCATACTCTACTAAATTGTTACATATTGCTATTTATATTCAGATAGCAATATCATTATGCTTATTTGGGCTATGCAAGCCATATTTTCTTAAAAATAAAGAAATGAAGCCAGTGTGAATCACTTAAAGTAGGTTTTCTTGTTAGAATCCCTTTTTTTCTCTCAAATTATGACCCTGAGCTTCTCCTTGGATTGATCAAAAGGAAATAAATTAAAGTGGAATCCACCACACCCTTTCCAGTATAGGACAGATGTTGTGTTCTGCTTAAGGGTCAGGGAGTAAAAAGGAAATGTAAAAGTTTTGAGTATTCTCAAAAAGCTTTTCTGATTCTTATGAATTATTTTGTTGACATTTTTTGAAATCTAGCATTCTGTGTGTAATTTCTTACCACAGCTGTTTCATTTTTATACTCCGCTTGTTCTGTTTGGTTTCCTTTCTGTAGTGGGTACACCTTATTACATGTCTCCGGAGAGAATACATGAAAACGGATACAACTTCAAGTCTGACATCTGGTCTCTTGGCTGTCTGCTATATGAGGTAGGTAATGTTGATAAATTCCATATATTATTTTTTTTACTTGTTGTAACATACTTCCCACATCCTTATAGTATACACTCATTTTTTTCTGGGTGGTGTCTAAGAATACCTTTTTAATTATGAAGAGTTAATTCACTGACTTAATGTAACTTCTTAATAGAATTTAGTAACTATACATTCCTATACATTTATCTCCTGTTATATATTTTCAGTGTTCCCTTCTGATGAAAATTTTAGTTTTATAATGATGTTTATAAACATAAAATCTTAACTTTAGTGTTTTTCCGCATATCTTATTTATAAAAATATACATTTCAGCAGCTATAAAATAACTTGCTTATCCACGCATAGTAGCAGGAGAGGTATGTATGATGGAATGGATTTGAATTTTGAAAGCATGGTAAATATCCTTATCAAATGTTTTCACTTTTATGTACAGTAATTCAGTAATTCAGATAGAAGGTAAATAGGTAATTCTTCTAGGTTATCACTCAATTTAGTTTCCCTGAGTAACAATTTATCTTGGTAAAACTCAGTACATACTCTCTCCTTTCCTACTGGTAATAATTTACCGAAGGAGGATGGAATCATGTAGGCAGATCCTTTGGCAAACATTGCAGTACAATTATTTGGGTGTGTAGGAGAAAGCATTTTATTGGCATGTTTTATATCATGTTACAGAGTAAAGATATCAGAGAACACTCAAGCTACAGTGACTGCTGTCATTTTATTCTTTAACTGAATGATAATTTCTAGGAATATAGGCTGTGAGTCAGAGCTGTTAATTAGTCTACATCTAATGACTCCTAATAAAATAAAATGGAGGAGAATAATACATGGAGTAATTTTCATATTTTATGTATACAAAGGAAATCTAAAGCAGACAGACAGAAACCAATGTATTTCTATTTCTTCCTCTGTATTTCCTGTCGCTTTTCTTACTGACTTAAATAAAATATATGATGAGATCGTCTGTTTTAATTACTCAAATGTCATGTGGAAGACAGCATCACAAGGTTTGTTTTTCATGTGTATCATGATCTTTACTGATTTGCATATTAAACTTTCCTTAATTTAAGGAATGTGAGATTATTTATTTTGTTTTTCCTACCACAGTGACTAATGACCACTTAAAAAGAAAGGATTTTTAAATGTTCTTAAATGACATCGCTAGGATAATTTTTAGGTACATGAGATCAAAAAGAGATTTATGCCCACTGTGTTATAGTCTGCTAATAATTTGTTATAATCCTGAACTGATTTGATATATTAAGTTACTTTTAGGTTTAAACATCACTTTGTGCACTCTAAAATATTTTATATGTTTTGGTAACCTTAGATTCTATCAGGCCATAGTCTGATAATATCAAAGTAGCATTTTCTTCTTAAATACCTAAAAATAAACAGCAAATTGGTTTCCGCTGTGGAGATTAAGCTTAGCAATGAAAAAGAAAGTTTAGTTGAGGGTAGTAAGTGTTTTTTTAGAAGTTTGTATAAATCTTAGGGCCAACAGACTCTAATGCCAAAACAATTCTTCACATTCTGAATTTGCCTTTGTAAGTCAGAGTGACCCATTTTTAAGTTTATTTAAGGTTGATCACCAAAATAAAAATTATTTCTTTGGACACTCTTCTGTCTATGAGTTTATGTGTTGTGGGTGATTTTGAGTTAAAGTATTTATCATGTTAACATTAGTGTTCATCTCAGTGCATTTTGTCAATTCCTTCATGCAAGTCATTTAGAAGAAGTAGAATTTCTCTAAAGACTTAATTCTCCTCTATGTTGTTGACCTTCTAGTTGTGTTTCAGTATAATGTTAATAGAAATAACCAGCAATTTAGCTTTAAAAATTGGCTATAACATCACACAGATTATTCATATGGTATCACACTAAGAATTTACTATTACCAATGAAGGAATAGGAAAGCTTTTTTGAGAATGTATTTTAAAGCCAGAAAATTAGACTTTCAAATATTCCTGAAACCTAAAAAAAAAAAACCTACCAGTACAGTTTTAATTGATATGCAACAGAGTAGACTTTACTAATTAAAATCAAGATGCTGTGCTTTCGCTACACAGACCTTTACATGGAAAAGTAGGTTTTACACATTCCCTTTATTGTTCAGCGCAGCGATTGCATCCTTACAGGGTTGTAGGTTGGTGGCTTACAGTTCAAAAAAAGAGAGAGCTGCCACCAGCCCCAAAGAAAGACAGTGGGCTTTCGTCCGCCAATACCCCCAGAATACTAATCAGGAAAGTCAGACCCTGCAGGTCAGGGAGCACGTCAGTCATTCTGGCGATCGTCTCAGTGTGGAGGATCAAATTAGCCTGAAAAATTCAGCTGCTGGGAGGAGAGGGCGAGCAGCTGTCAGGGGCAGCATCGAGATGCACTAATGAACCAGATGAATAGTGCAAAAGCTTGAAAATAAAAACAGGACAGTTGACATTTTTCATCTGTCAAAGCAGGAGATGCATGAAAATATACTATTCCTGTTTAACTCCTTAGGGGACATGCAGATTTTTTTAACACTCTGTAGTGTTAAGACAAAAGTACCCTAATGCACTAGCCTATGATAATGACTCTGTACATTTACTTAGGGGTTTTGCAAACATGGAGAGACCGTAGGTTATCTGGGCAGTGTTTTTTAAGGTGCATTTATAATAATCTGTGTTATCATAAAGGGTCCTCATATTTTAAATAAAAAACGTGATTATTGTACCTCCTCTTCTGGAAATTTCCTCTCAGATGGAGGGTTTTTCTGTTTAGGGCCATTCAAATTGTTTTTTGCTTTTTTCTCTTTATGTGGAACGGCTATTCCTAAGGTTGTTTTATGTAGGTTTATGCAGGTATTCTATAAAATACAGGCTAAGCACAAATGAAATCAAGCTACTTTGTGGGTTGGGTTTCCGATGCAGTCCCCTCCTCGTGTGAGGCTCCGAAGGAGTTAAACCCCGTCTCAGGCGCCAGAAGACAGATGAGAGCCATTTTCAGCTTGTCCTGTCCCCGCTGGCGCGCACTGAGTAGCACAGCACGGACCAGCGTGTTTCACACACACTCTGCCTGTCTGGGGAATGTACACATTGTCCTTCCAAAATCAAACTTATTAGCACATGTAGAAAAGGGTGACTGACTTTGGGGCAACCTTGCATGCTCCGTTGTATTCTTGCTGCTGTGGTTCAAAGATTCAGAAGGTTTTGAACAGAATGTGAACATTTTAAATTGAGTTTTAGTTGTGACCCTGCTCACCGCAGTACCTGCTCACATTGTAAATGTCAAGTTAGAACCTTGTCTTAAGATAAATTAAAATACAGTAATGCCTTTTTTTAAGTCATTCATTCTTTGAGTCATTTTTTCCTGCATAAACATCTCCTTTGGATGTCTTGAAGTAGCAACTATGACTTGTCAAGCTTTTGAACGTATTTATTTAGTGTTTTGAGACTTTATTGGAAGAAAAGAAGTTCTAATTCAGAAGTTAAACTACTTGAGGATCAGTTGCAACATTCAGATGAAAAGACATTTCTTTTTCTCAAAATACCCTTTCCCTGCAGAAACTGTTAGGCAAGACAAAATGCTGTGCATTCCAGTCTCTACACCATTGCTAGGTCACAGTTCAGTCTTAAGCCCAGTTTCGTTTTTGTTATGCTTAAACCATTACGTGGTTACGCCCCCCTTCCTCCACCATGCCTGTCCAGTCATGAGGTGTACTGGCCATTGGGTGGTATTACAGACACAGAGTCTTAAGTACTTCATGTTCTTTTTCTTAATGTTTTAATGTTGCATATGTATATAAATAAATATGTGTTAAGCATTTCTTCCTTTTAGGGAATTTTAAATGTTGAAAAAATAAGCAGAAATTTAACCAAGATTTTTAGAACTTGATAAATTCTCAGAGAGGGATATTGGTAAAAATCAAAATGCCCAGAGAACTTTATTTAAAGTATTTGAAATCAGTCTCTCCCCGGTGTAACGGGCTGTGCGAGCTCCCCGTCAGGGGCCGCGTGTGCACGTCGGTGTCACGGGTGTCTTGCAGATGGCCGCGCTGCAGAGCCCCTTCTACGGCGACAAGATGAACCTGTACTCGCTGTGCAAGAAGATAGAGCAGTGTGACTACCCGCCTCTTCCCTCGGACCACTACTCGGAGGAAGTGAGTCACCGTTCAGTCTGTGTGTTTTTCCTGTTGTTCATTTTACTAATATTTGCATTTTATTAAAAAATGTCCCTTTATCCAGAAATACAAATGACGAGTGTGGGTGGCAGAAATGGCACTTCTCATTCTGTCTTCATTGTCTTGGAGAGATGCTGCTTAAAGAGCTGACTGTGCGTTTCATGACGTGGAGCGGGGTACTAGTGGAATACCGCCCCCCGAGGTGCGGTAAGGGTGGTGGCTGACTCGCGGCATACCGAACACGGCGAAGGGCAGAGAGTTAGTGCACACGCCGGGCCCAGTCAGTCGGCACGTCCCGTGGCCCCTTCCGCAGGTCAGCGCCTCATTCTCACAGCTCGGATCAACAATTAACCTTTCTTTTCAGGCAGAACATGCCTCCCATTCCTGTTTTCC